ATGTGAGTTGCTCAGATAGATGATGTCCCCTGGGTCTCCTGTGCCAGGATGTGCAGGGTGTGCATGCCCATGGCCAGGCCCCAGGGCGGCCTCGAGCCCACATCCCCTGAGAAGGGTCTCGCTGTGTCCTTGGACCTTCTTGGCTGGGGCTCTTGGGATCCCTGCCTGGACACTGAGGAGCCGGTTTCCGTAATGGTGATTCATGACCCTCCTGGGGCTCTGCAGATGTTGGAGAGGAGGAGAAATGAGAGCAGCTGTAATTCAGCCAGCTCCAGAGGCTCAGATGTGACCACGCTGGGAGGAGTGGGGCCGGGCGCTCACTGCGTGCTGCTCACACCTTGCTCTTCTGCAGTACGATGCCGTGTCTGACCTTTACTTTGAGAATGTCATGCAGTTCTACAACTTCTCGGCCAGGGTCACGGCCGACCAGCTCCGGAAACCACCAAACCGGGACCAGTAAGTCCTCTTCCCTGCTTGGTATGGACGTGCTCTGCTCCTCTGTTGCAGTCAGTGGGAGAATCACAGTACCTCCCTGCCCGCTGGAGCACTGGAATTTGGTTTTCCTGAAAATGCTTCTGCTGGCTGTGCTGGCTCTGGGAAATTAAAGCTGGGCTGACATCTCTGTGCTGTGATAAACGTGTGCAGCTGGAGCAAAGCGCAGCAATGCTTTGTGCTACCACATCCTTGTCCCTGCAGGTGGAGCATGACGCCTCCAACAGTCAACGCGTACTACTCTCCTACCAAGAATGAGATCGTCTTCCCTGCCGGCATCCTCCAGGCCCCTTTTTACACCCGCGCCTCTCCCAAGTGAGTTCCTGGGGAAAGCAGGGGAGGGCAGCATTCCCAGATTTCCTCCTTTGCCAAAAGTCGATGCTGAATTGCATGGCTGGGGGAGCAGTGGCTGCTCTCTAAACCTCCACGTCGCTGTCCCACAGGTCGCTGAACTTTGGTGGGATTGGTGTGGTGGTGGGCCATGAGCTGACACACGCCTTTGATGACCAAGGTATGGCCAGGGCTGGGTGGCAGAATGCTGACAGGGCGGCCAGCGGGGTGACAAGTAACCCGATATGTTTTTGTCAGGTCGGGAATACGACAAGGATGGCAACCTGCGTCCCTGGTGGAAGAACTCCTCAGTAGAGGCCTTCAAGCGGCAGACAGCATGCATGGTGGAGCAGTACAGCAACTACACCATCAATGGGGAGGCTGTCAATGGCAAGCACACCCTTGGGGAGAACATCGCTGATAATGGGGGGCTCAAGGCTGCCTACCGGGTAGGGCTGTGGGGCTGCGGCTGGGTGGCACGCTGCGGTTGGCTCTGTGCTGTCCCCTGAGCCCATCATGCTCCTCAACCTCCAGGCATATCAAAACTGGCTGAAAAAGAACGGGGAGGAGGAGACTCTCCCGACCCTCGGCCTCACCAACCACCAGCTCTTCTTCGTCGGCTTCGCGCAGGTAGGCAGTGAGGATGGATGCACGGGTTTTTGGGGTTCACCCATCCGTGGTTTTCCTTCTATCCATGGAAGCATGCGCCCAGATGGTTTTGGGAGAGCATGAAAGCAAAGCTGAGGTCTCCAGAGACAGCCCAGAGAAGGAGATCGGGGAGGTGCTGGTTGAAGAGCAAGTCAGGCTTGGCAAGAGTGGGGTCCTGCAGCTGCGGACATCAGCACTCGGCCTCTTGCCCTTTCTCACAGGTGTGGTGCTCGGTTCGCACGCCGGAGAGCTCTCACGAAGGGCTCATCACCGACCCGCACAGCCCCTCGCGCTTCCGCGTCATCGGCACTGTCTCCAACTCCTGGGAGTTTGCAGAGCATTTCAGCTGCCCCCTGGGCTCCCCCATGAACCCCCCCAAAAAGTGTGAGGTCTGGTGATGGGCGGGCGTCGGGATCCGGCCGCGTCGTCCTGTGCCGGCGGCTGAATTTCCCCATCCCTTTGAGAGGCTCAGACCACTTAGCGCAGCGAGCTGCCCGGCTCTCACTGGAGCAGCGTCCCCGGTGTCAGCCGAGGTCCGATGGATCCACTGTGAAAACTTCTCTTCCCCTCGCTTGTTTGTGAAATGACTTCGATGTGGGGAGGTTTCTGTCCCACGTGCCAGGGCGCTGCCCCGTATTTACACACGCAGCGCTAAGCCTGGCCCTAACAGGAGCCCAAACCCTGAGCCCGGCACCGTCCTCCTCCGAGGCATGAAGGGAATGCCGTGGCGCTGGCAGGCTGGGCTGTGTGTCTAAATACAGCCGGCACAACCTCCTCTCTCCAAAGATGCGCACACGAGGATGGTAAATATTTTGAGACGTATTTCAGGGCAGGGGAGGGTGGAGGGGAAATATATATTTTTTTTTCATGCATTTTGGAATACACTGGAAAAGTTCAGGGAAAATACATTTTAAAGCCTTTTTTTTTTTTTTTTTTTTTTTTAAAGCAAAGAATTAGTATATTTATTATTTTTTTATACTCAGTGCAGCTGTAGACACAGCGCCCTGTGGTGACAGTTCCCAGCTGGGGAGTTCAGGTGGGTTGCGGCCAGCTGGCCCCACAGCCTATGGATCTCCAGGAGGGACCGTCCTCGGAGGATGCTGATGGGGACAGTGGGGACAGGGCCCAGGGATGGTGTCGACGGAGCCCTGTCAGAGGCTGGATCACAGGAGGGCTCTGTTGGGATGCTGCAGCTCCTGAGGTTAGCTTTAATTTCTGAGTGCAAAGGGAAAAGTTGATGTGCCAAAGATGTAAGCGAGGTGGGAGTTGTGGTGGTGAAGCTGCTGGGCACCGCTTCTGCCTGGCCCGGGTTCTGTCCCAGGTTCGCAGAGCGCCTGTCCCTGCAGGACAGGGAGCCCAGGAAGCAGCATGGCGAGAGCAGCTGCAGGGGTGGCCCTGCATCCCTCCCATCCCCGTAACAGGAGGTTGGCCGCAGCCTCCCGGCCCGGTATTGCTCCAGACAAGTGCAGGCAGTCCTCGCTGCCATTTTGCTCGCTGCTGTGCCCCCGTGCCAGGGAGCTGTGAGCCCTGCATGCCCCTGCTTCATCCCAGCATGGCTGGGGCCGGTGCAAAGCTGGCAGGGTGGGCGCAGGGTCCTCCGGGGCTTTTTAATACTCTTCTTTGCAGTTTAGAAAAGAAACCACTGACAGTAGCTCAGGTGCCACATGTTGTCTTGCAGCACCTCTAGACAGAAAGCGAAGATGTAGAGGGATTTTTAATATTTATATGTAAAAGGGACATGGGGGGAATTTTTTTTTTGTATCTATTTTTTCACCCTACATGTGGAGCTTATCATAACTGAAATAAATACTTTTTACTGGGTCTGCAGGTGCTCGTGACTTTTATATTTATTTATTATTACTTTCTGGTAGCAGGGAGCATCTCGCACCCCACCTGCGTTTTTCTCCCCATCCTCTCTGTTTTTTGTGTGTGTCCCCCCTCCTGTGCTGGACAGGAACATAAGGGCAGAGCACACTGTTGGCTCACAGGCCCTCCTTGTTTTCCTGCAGAGCTGGAGACCAGCTGAGCTCTGCTGGAAATGGTGGCACGAACCCGCAGAGGGCGGTGGAGCCGAGGCAATGCCGTGTGCTGCACCCAGCAGGATGGAGCAGAAAAGCTTTGGGCCTGGTTGTGGCTCCAGCTGCTGCCTGCTTAAAATGTGGCAAAATGCAGCAAGTTCCACAGTACTTCTGCACTTCTCCAGAGCGAGCTTTGCTCCGCACACAGCCTGCTTGTGTCTGCTGTCTCAGTTTGCATGGGGTGGACAGCCCAGCACAGGAGGGGTTTGGAGGACAAGCAGCAGCTTGCACGGGACTCCCCAGCCTGCTGCTGCTGTTTGCCCACCTTGGGGCTGGCACGATCCTGGGGTGACTCAGCTGCTCACTGCCACTGCCTGCCGTGGGCCTGCCTGATCCTGGGTGGTAAAACCTGGTTGTTTTGCATCAGCCGTGCCCTGTGGGGCTGAGCCCAGGTAGGAGGGGGAACCAGCGTATGGCCTTGCAGGAAAACAGCCCTTTTCCACTAATACCCCAATTTCCACTGGTTCCCCAAGCCACTAAGCCTTCTGAATCATAGAATGGCCTGGGTGAAAAGGACCACAATGATCATCTAGTTTCAATCCCCCTGCTATGTGCAAGGCTGCCAACCAGCAGACCAGGCTGCCCAGAGCCACATCCAGCCTGGCCTTGAATGCCTGCAGGGATGGGGCTCCACAGCCTCCTTGGGCAACCTGTTCCTTTTCCTAAACCCATCAGCAGCTCTCGCACTCTTTGTTGTGAGCACCTCTGGCTTGCTGATGTTGGTGAAGAAGCACGAAAGTGCCGGTGGGGCTGAAAAACCATTGTCACCGCCCAGGTGCTCATCCAGCAGCAGAACGGATGGGAGGAAAAGTTCAACGGAGGCAGAGGAAGGGCACGGATCCAGCTGGCACTCGTTCAGGCTCGCCAAACCTGTGGGTTTTGTTGGCCAAATGCCGTGTGGGGTCGTGTGGGAGAGACGCGGGTTGTCTGCTTTGTCCTGGAAGGAGAAAAAACAACCAACAGCAGTGGTGAAGCAACGGTGCCTGGGAGGCATCAACTGCGTGGAGTTCCAAGGCAGGGCCAGAGGCTTTGGGACACAAACTGGTGAAAACGCTCCTGCTGGTTTCTTGTGATTTTTGTTTTCTTCAACTCCCCCCCCCCATTCTAAACAGGCAAAAAGCTGCGATGCATCTAAGGATGCTTGAGCTCTTTCACAGCTGTGTTTACAGGCAGCTATTTCTGTAGAGCACGAGGAGCCATAGATGTCAACTTGCACTCAGTGCTAATTTCCTCCCGCACGAAGGGCTGCTCCAGGGGCAGTGCCACGCTCGGAAGGCAGTCAATGAGCACCAAATCCCACAGATCACGCAGCTGTGCCTCCAAACGACCGCAGCCCAATCTTTACGGGGCAGCGCGGCGATGGCGGCGGCGCGGACGAGCGCAGGATCCCTGCGGCCCCACGCACCGCGCCGCGCCGCGCCCCGCACAGCCGGGCGGTGCCGAAGCCTTTCCGCAGCCGCTCGGCCGCCGAGCCGAAGGCGCCCGAAGCCGCCGCCGAGCCCTTCCCCGAGAGGCTCCGAAGAGCCCCGAGCACCGCCCCACGGGGCGGGAATATCTCTTCCGAGCCCTTCCGAAGCTTCCCGAACTCCCTCATGTCCCCGGCCTCCGGAGCGAGCTGAAGTTTCCCGAGAGCGGGGGTCACGGGAGGCGCCGGACCGAGCGGGGGGGGGGGGGGGGAAGGGGAGCGGGGCGCGTGCGCCCGCGAAGGCCTCCGGAAGGAGCCGAGGTTTACCGAGAGCTCCTCGCCGGCGAGCGGTTCCGGAAAGAGCCGAAGGTTGCCGAGCGCCGGCGGGCCGAGCGGCTCCGGAGCGGCCCGAAGGCGCCCGAGCGTCCGTCCTGCCGGACTGCTGGAGGCGGCCGCAGCGCCATGTTTGATGCTCCGCTACTTCAGTGAGGAAAATCCGCCGGCATCGCCCGAGAGCCGCCGCCGCGAAGGGCGCCGCCGCCCCCGGGGAAGGGCACCGAGACCCCCCGCCGCCGGCGGCCCATGAGCATCGCGGCCTGAGCCGCCCCCCCTCCCCCCTCCCCGCCGGCCCTGCGCCGTCCCCTCCCCGCGCCGAGCCCTCGGGAGCCGCGTTGTCACGGAGACCGGCGCCGGTGCCGGCCCGCCGCGCTGCCCCGGCCGCCGCCCCGGCCCCCGGCCCGCTGCCCGCTCCCGCGGCCCGGCTCCCCCACGGCCCCGCTCCCCGCCGGGGGGTGGTGGCTCCGCTCGGCGATGAGTTTACCGCAGAAGGCGGCTTTGAAACCCGGCGCGGCGGCGGCGGCGGCGGCGGCGGCAGGGCCCGGCCCCGGG